GATTTCGCGCTAACACCTCCATTTCGGATTTGGTTATTTTATTTAAACTACAAAACACAAATTAATCGCCCGACTGCGCCAGTCTAGTCCGGCGGGTACACCCAAGTGATTGTGCAAATGAATCTGGCTCGTAGTTTTCAATAAGATGTCTTTTTTACTAAAATTGATACAAATATTTATTAATATAAGAACAAAATCATCCAAAGTATAGTCAGTATAATATATAGTTGTTTCCAAACTCATTTACAGCAAAAGTTGACGCGGGACAAACAATCAGATTTGTTTATTTTTGTCATTATTTTCTTATCAAATTTCTCATTGCTTTTTAAAACACAAAAATCAGTGTTTGGAAAATAGATCCACAGTGAGTCTCTCTGTTTTTTTTGTTTGTTTTTTTTTTTTTGTTAGGCAAATTAAACTCTATCCATGTACCAAATTGTATGCACTTGCTATAATTTTAATACTGTAAAAGTGTTAAGTATTCACTGGGTTTTCATTTTGCTTATTTCACTGACTGGAAAATGCACTAGATTAAAACCCAGTGAATATTTAAAATTTAGCATAGAGCACATTATCTAAATGATAAAACCGTGAATTTAAAACCCACTGAATATTCCTGAAATAGTAAATCAGCGAAGTTAAAACCCAGTGAAAATTAGTCATTTCACAGTAATACAACATCTTCACCCCTGGACGATGCTGGGGGTTTAATTATGGTTTAATTTCAGACTTGCATAAAAAAGATACGCATGTAGTATATGAATACTGAGAATTTTCGTATGATTCATTTCTTTGTTTTTATCAGACAGACTGATGATGACGGTGGTATGCAGTAGGCACCGCACCCACTGTAAAACAATAAAAAAATCCTGGCTAAAACCAGTTACTATCGATCGCAATAAGACATTCTTGGTAATAATAAGCGGTTCGTGAATTCTTTCGGTGACCGGAATGCTAATATCGCAGGCGAGAGCCTGTTTTGGGCAAGTAACCGTAGAGTAATGTGATCAGCTGCGGTAGCACTTGTGGTGGGGGATTATGACAATATAATATCGATATACTGTGCCAAGTCTCGACAGATCGTTCTTATATTTCCCTCGAGAAGGCTATATTCTCAAACTGCGGCTATGAATTGCAAACAAATATCATACATAATTGCCAGATTATCATCATCATGTCAAACGGGAGAGAACCGTTCAGTTTGTAAGCATAGTACCTGTATACGACACGTACCCGCTTCGCCAACTCATTTAATGTGTCGTTTCCCTGTATTACATGCCGTTTTGGTTATTATATAGCGTCCGTATCATAAACGGCAATTAGCCCCGCCTGGACATTCATTCGCTCCAAAATACTACCCAGTGTGTGGGATGTCATCCCTTTCTCCGGAACCAAGAATAATGTCGGAAATGCTAAGAATTATAGTTCCGGATTAGTTAAATCGCATTCCGTTTAATACACAGCTGTTATCAATTTGATGGACTATAAAGAGAATAGTAACCAATATACCGTAATCAAAATCTAATTTCAGTCTAGTGCTAAAGACAGACGTTACTAACCCTGATTATAGTGGTTAAACTTCGGGATATTAATATTTAAAGTAAAAGTACTAGTAGTATACTCTTACATATAATTAAACGAAGTTTACTGAAGAGGTAATATGGATAACATTTGGTAACTACTCAAATGCGCATGCGCTTTAATTATATGGAATGTACCATTATTTGATTCATTGAACGTGCGTTGTTTCATTGATCTACTAGTATTGTGTGAATGTATCAAACACGCAGTAGTCAGTTTTGTGTTTATCAACTTGCAGCGGCGTCGATTCCTCCGACGATAACGACAATGCCATCCATATCATTAATTTAACAAACATAAATTACTAGTACTACGCTGTGCACTTCATCAAAATACAAAAGTCGTTGTAAATAGAGTTGCGCAAATAATCGAGAGTTAATCATCTGGAGTAGTTAATCTAATCTAGTAGGTTAGTTTCCATGCTAATCGTATACCTTGTGGTGGTGAGGAGGGACGGTCACGTAAAATCTCGACTATAAATGGTTTGTTCTTTTGCCCTTGATAATAACGATAGGTCAAGATAATAGGGTGGACAGTTGTTTGTAGATGTCAATAAGTATAAAATCTAGATCGCGTCCGATATTTCTATAATTAATGAGATGTCGCTTAAAATAATTTAGCAGTTGCCTTGGACATTACACGCGACGTACTTGTTATTGTTGAGAGATAAGTTTTCGTCCTAGTACACATATTTGACAAAAGAGTCAAATTATTTGATCCCTGTTCGAAATTCGCTGAGTTACTATGGTGCGTTCAGTCATTTTGCGTGGATTGTTTTGCGACGTCATCCTACGTATATCAACTTTCAAACCGTATTTATGCTCAATTAGCTGTCATTCATTGGCTGTGTCGTCGTGACTTAGATTTGTATCTAGGTAACAGAATAGAGAGTGTCATTAGTTTATTATGAGCCACACTTTCCTCCATCACCAATTTACACATCAACTAACTGGATTCAACTTTTTCGGGAAACGTTTTAGATGTTCTGTCAAATTGTCCTCCTTAAGTCAACACATAATATTCAATTTCTAGTTTGTTGTTTGGTTCTACTGTTTCCGTCGTTTCAAACTTGATTTGATCATGCATAATTATATGCATGATATAGGTATGGGCTCTTACAACGTGTTTGGGTTACCTAAGCGTTTTATTAACTGTAATTGTATCCAACTACACGGAGCTTTATATTTAGTATCAGAGCATGTTCCAAATTCCGTATTTTTAAAACTATTTAATAATAAAAACTACTGCAATTCTGTTACACTTCATTTACATATTACATGTAACTCCAAGTTATAATCGATAGTATATTTGTAATGTGTCCTTAATAATAATAATATTATTACTATTATTATTTTTCATTGATAGGAATAAAATCTAGGGTCACGAATTTAATATCCTGTTCACCACATTATCTGTTTTGCAATAGACTAAAATCCCACGCAGTACTGAGCGCGTATTCGAGACATTGTAGAGCATTCTGGCTCATTTGCATAAATGATCGCTGTCCATTACCGTTTACCGTTATTTTACTCTACTACGTTTAAGAATATAAGGTTATTTTTAGAGCCATCACAATATTTACTGTTTCAGGGATGTATTGTTACCATAATTTTCAATTAAAACCTTGGTCGTTTCACAATCCGTTCCAAATGGTCACTAGACATGGGTGAAAACAAATCTCCGTACGCCAAGAAGTTGAGG